TATAGTGTGTGTGTGTTATATATATATATATATATATATATATATATATATATATATATATATACACTTGTACATATATATATACATATACATATACATATACATATATATATATATGTATATATATACATATATATACTGTCAGTCGAGGAGTATGTATGAGTGTATAGCATGTGTGTGGGAAAGAGAAATATTAAGATGCGATTCAACGTAAACCGGTTAGGACTCAACGCAAAGGGCAAACGACTATCTTAGCGGTAGTCATAAAATAAGGACTCATAGACGCCCACGTGTAGAGTGTTGAGAAATCATAGTATAGCTGCCCCGTAGTAAGTACCTGGTAGTGGTTCTCCCTGCACAGATTGAGTAGGCCTTCTCGCTGCTCCATCAACTCCACGGCCACGTTGGGATCGGGGTCCGTAGAATCAACTTTCTGCTCGTAATGCATGAAATGAAGATACGATATCCAACACAAACGGTCGTCATTCCAAAGTAAGCAAGAAAGGATACATATCGATATCGACTAGAGGTATGAAATAAGATTTACTAGACAAATACTATGAATAAGGAACCATGCGCACAACGCAGAGAGAAGTCAGAGAATGCATGAGTAACGACCAGATATATGGAATACAACATGCCGCACACACAACACATATTCGCAATCCGAGGGTGAGTTATGTAAACTATGCATATAGCTATTGCATAGATCAATGAAACATAACGTACCGTGTTGCTGGGATCTTTGGCCAGTTGCAGCACAAAGAAGACGTCCTTGTTCTTCGCCATCATATCAAACAACGCACTGGCCAGCTCCGAGTGTTTGCGGTTGATCACCTTGTTGTTCTTCTTATTGAGCTTCTTCTTGCCGCTGGCCTTTTTGTTGCTTTTAGCAGCCTTGCTGCCGGCCTTTCCTGTAGCGCTCGTCGTGTTGCCCTCCTCTTTACCGTCCGCATCCTCCATCAACTTGGCAATCTGCTGCTCAATCAGATCCGGCCAGTAGTCACCACTAAACCGGGGTATCTGGATGGTCGAGTTAATCTCATCCTTCTCCCGATACACCACTAAATCATTCCACTCGGCAATGTAGTTCTTGAGCTTGGCCTCGTCGCACATGGACTTGTACCACTCTTGCAAACGTTTGGGTTTGGGTGTCTTCTGGTCCTCCGGATGGCCATAGAACACATAGTCGTCTCCCTTAGATGGCGGGCAGGCCCAGATGTGGCCGTAAGCGAAGCCCATGTTGGCGCAGTAGAGGAAGTATGAATTACATATCTCGTGATAGATCTGTTGAGAAGTCCAGAGTTGTTTATAGTGGAAGAAGAAAACGGGTATAATAAGTATCGGGATGTTTGAGTTTGCCGAGTTGCGAGCATTTCAGCACATATTATCCCATACACAGCCGCGAGAAGTAGGCCCAAAAACACGATCAATTGTGGTCTATCAATGTAGTAAAAACACAC